TCTAATTGGACTCCAATTGTTCAGAAGCTATTGGGATCTAATTGGACCTTCTAGTTATTAAATATAGCTTCTAAAGAAAACTCTCCAATGAGATCCCAAATTACTTAAAGTGAATCTACAGGTTGGTTTTTCTTCAATCTTATCCTGGTAAAAATCAAGTTTGAAATACATTTTTTTATTTATAATTAAATAGCATTCTGAATACAAGCCATCAATGAGCTATTGGGATCTAATTGGACTCCAATTGTTCAGAAGCTATTGGAATCTAATTGGACTCTCTAGTTATTAAATATAGCTTCTAAAGAAAACTCTCCAATGAGATCCCAAATTACTTAAAGTAAATCTACGGGTTGGTTTTTCTTCAATCTTATCCTAGTATTGCAAGAGCCAGCTTCTGAGTTGGTTAAAATGGGATATGATTCTATTTTTCATTACTTTATGTACTGAATCCATTATTAGATTGTTATTTATATTTTTGTTTGAGACGTACTAGGTCGCTTTGATGATCAATCCTAAGGCTTTTCACTGTAGTCTCTGGAGATTCTCTGGAATTCTGGAAGTCTCTGGAATATTTGGGGTTTGACTGGCGCAAAATACATATTTTACTACCACAAAGATTACACTGCATATCTTTGTATGGAACATTGGCAGAAGAATTAAAAATCAAAAAAATAAGAAAAATATTAACAGATATTTGACGTAAATAATAATTATCAAAAATGTTGATGCTTTTTAAAAAAGACACATGAGGAGATAGTTCATCACAACAGCACATAGAACTGCTAAGTGCTGATTGCTGTCCAAAAAATAAGAAAGAATATTGTTAGCAGTCTATTTTGTCCAGGTGTTTCACTTTATAACTTCAGCTTAATTTTAAATATCTGTTACTATTTTTTTACAATTTTCCTGACTTTGGAGTTAGTTTTCAATAGAGATTTTCCTCCTCGGTATCTCATAGCCCTGTTACGTAGTTCGAACGCGCGCATCGAGTGTGAAAGTGGTTCCGATCGGTTTGTTCGTCATTTTCCCTTTTTTTGTTCTCGGTTTGCACTGGTTTATATTCATTTTCTATCGGCGCGTTTCCGGTTGAAAAGTATTCATGAGCGTAACAACGAATTTTCTCATATACGGCAATTTTACACTAAACTCGTAACGTAAGCTGCTAAGGCTCGGGTAACATAAATCTTTATCATGGACTTAAGAAACTCAATTTATTATAAATATCACAAAGTAAAATTTTACTGGCATAAAAAATATGCGGTAACGTTTAGTTACCATAATGTATCCTTAAGATGTTACCATAATGTAACCCTCACATAACGATTTTTGTGAGAAAGAAATTGCACTCTACATATTATCTTTTGGGTTTTCTTTCCTGACGATATAACTCCAGAACGCACAAACCGATTTTTTGCATTGGTTAGAAAGGTCTCGGGCTCCGCAAGGTTTATAGCTAAGGAAATTAGTGGTGCATGGCATCGTGCCTTAATGCAAATTGCTGGAACTTCACGCACCGTAATCAAAAATTCGAGTAATGACATTAGTGAGAATTATCAGAATTATGCTTGGTTAAGTCAACGAGCAATTCTTGCCGTAAAGAATAATGATGTACAGTGTACACGCACTGAATTTCACCATTCAATCAAAAATTGCTGACAATTTGGTGGCATACCAATGATTCCGACTGGTCTTCCGTTTGACTTCAAACGATTGCAATTTCCAGTTCGCCTTGCGTTCGCGATGACAATTAACAAGTCGCAAGGCCAATCGCTTTGTGTTTGCGGGATAAATTTCAAATAGATTATTTAGAAAATCAAAATTTTTTACATGGGCAGTTATACGTTGCCTGTTCACGAGTTGGGAAACCATCCGCTTTGTTTGTGTTAACGTCAGACCAAAAAACAAAAAATGTGGTTTACAAAAGAGCACTTCAATGAAACGGATAATTGGCGGATTCAATTTCATTTTCTTAGAGAAGTTCAACTAAAACACACTTTATTTTTGTAATCGAAATAAATTCATTACTATTGTGTAAAAAAATCAATTTTTTTCTTTTCAAATATAAAACAAACAAAAAATTTCTTCATCTTTCTCACGAAACCATCTGGTGGCGAAACGGAGTTCGTCGGGTTTGCTAGTTTTTTATAATACTAGAAGTATTATGTTTATACATATACAAAATTTAATTTTTTTAATAAAATATTTTTATTATTCGACTGAAATAAGTAAATTTATAAACTTTTTGCTTTTACAAAAAAACCAATAAAAATTTTAAATAACTATTACTTTCCATTATGTGTATTTACGGAAATGGGAATATGTGTCGGAGCCACAAATAAAATGATAAATTGCGTAATATCGATCTAGCAATAAAAGAAAATAGTTAGTAAATGACTAATTTTAGGTATATAAAGCTGTAATTTTTTATTGATTCTAGAGTAGATGTCATTAGTAGAAGTATTAGTAGAAGTCATTATTTTAAATCAAATTACTATAGTCAGTGAATACTAGTTCGAACTTGTTTTACATCATTTTATTATTTGATTTTTTTTTTAATTCAATAGCAAATTGTTTTGATTGCTTTCGAGTGATTATGTAACTCTATACATACTTAAGATTTTTAATTTAGAATTAATTATAGGATGACTAATATAGAAAAACTTTATTTTTTTTCAATATTCCGCATAACATGTTTGTTTACAAATACTAATGGTATAGATATGCTTTAGTGATATAAAGTATGATGGGCATAGCTAAATGATTATAAATTATAATATATACTCATATATATAAATACATCATAGGTATAAGAAAATTTTTAATCAAAAAAATATAGATCCAATTTATATCCGCCATTGATTTGCCTCTTAAAGAGTATCATCACAACATCTCATAGGACTCTTAGCTCTGATTGATGTCAAACAAAAATAAATTTATATTTATTGTGTGTCAAATCAATATGTATGTCAACCTTATTTTTCATTTTTACCATTGATTACCATATATTCGATAAATTACGTTTCCCATGTAATCTCGTCCTAATGGGAACAACCGCACGAGGAACAATCTTAATACGCGTGACAATCATTTCGGGTTCGTTAAAGTTGTTTTCGATTGTTTTAAATTTATTTGCGGGTTTCTATATCAAATTCTCGACAAATCTTCAATGATAGTGTAGCACTTTCGCCGTTTATGTCACGATGTGAAATTGATACTGTTGCACTTGATCGAACGCACTTAATCAATCAACCGATGAATTCCCATATCAATTAACTAATATTAGCCTTTCTTTTAAAGAGGAAAAAAATTTTGCCTTCTTGATCAAAACTGAAAATCGGAAGAAAGTACCTCAAGTAGAACCTTATGAACTATTCTACCATTCCTTATACTTCGCAAATTGTATGATTATTAAAAAATCAATAATTTGTTTTGTCATAATGAACTTCAAATGCCCACAGAGTTGCGGTTAGTATCGGTTTATGAACTACACAAGATAACTATATTACCACTTTCTACGAAACAGTTGGTGTATCTTATATTAGTGAATTACTTACTAGTACTTTGATTATTTGTTACTCCAATATCTTATTAGAGTATTCAAAATCTATCATTTAGAATATACTATTATTCAAAGTCTGTCCCAATTTTCTAATACGAGTATTTCTATTACATAACTAATGTGTAAACAAAACCGCATGCATTATTTTTATTCCACCGCCATATAATGATATAGCCGTATCCACATATGGAGTATAATTATGTTTTTGTATATATCGATTATGCTATCGATCGTATTATGTTATTTGCCCCTGCTCTCTTTCCGTCTTATTACATCATAAAGCATAAGGAAATAAAAATTTAAATAAATTACATTTTTATGGATCATTTATTATTCGCGAATCATAAATTTTCCTGATCAGCATTTTCCTGAAAGCTTTCGATTATTGTATTGGTTGGTGACCGACGTTAAAAGAAAAACATTGATTTGATTGACAAAAAATATATTTAATTTTAGAGGCTACATTTTTATTACCGTTAGTTTCTAAAGGAAAAGTTTTCTAACAGATTTCCAAATTTAAACCTTAGTAAGAAATGAATAAGCACATAAATGGACATCATATTAGGCAGGGGTGTCCTATTTTTAACAATTTGACTCAACAATTTTATTTATATTATTTTATGTATTACATATTATTTTAATTATCACACATGCTGATGAAAATAATGGATTTTGTTAAAAATAAAGTAATATTTATCGTTGACTATTACAATTATTGTGCATTGCAAAAAAAATTAATACCTACTAATTAAAAAAATATAATGAATGCCTTTATCAATACTAATAATACGATTTTGCTACTTAAGAAATTTTTGCGGCACAGATTTCGTTTTTTTTTCTTCTAAAAAGTACATAAAATATTCTCTATAATTATTTGGTATTTTTATCATTTCATATGATGGAACAAATTAGTGTGGAAATTATATTTTTAACATATAATTTAAAAAGTAAAAAACACATAAATTTATCATAGAGTATGAGAAATATTTAATTAAAACATTTTCAAGTTTCTGGAATTTTGTAAAAAAAATATGACTGATTATTTTACAGCAGAATTATATTTACAATGGAATGATGGAAACTGTTCAGTTTATTAAATATCAGTGAACCATCGAGTATTTTTTATATTTAAAAATAAAATAAATTTGTGTGATTTGGTCATATTCAAAAATTGTTTAAACTTATCGAAAACAGATTTTGAGGTGCTTGTTTTGTATCTCAGATGACTGAAAATTTTTCAAAAACTTTAGTTTTTTAATATGGGACATTTTTGCTCAAATGTGTATACAATTGTTGAGCAGAAAATCAATCAATATCAAATGAATATTATTAAACAATTAAAATAATTTGTTATAACCGTCCATTGTTGTGGAAGGAGATTTTGTCAACGGTTGGCTCGTGTCGGGAGTGGTATATATAGCTTCTATCTTAATGCTTTTAACATTAGTGAACAAGTGCCTTAGTGAACAAGAAGTGTTAATACAATTGTTGTATGTGATTTAAAATAAATTGTGAATAGAACATTTTACCAAGAATATGAATCTACTATTTGTTGTGAGTTTTTTTTATTGTAATTGTTATAAAGTTATCAAATTTAGAGAAAAAATTTATATGGACCTAATGGATTTTTACAAATGCTCATGACTGTGCTAAATTTTTCGATAAATTTTTTAGACAATACTTATTTTGTCAAAACGCAAATTTAGAGATAATATTTTTAGCTAAATATAATTGTTTAATTTTTACTTTTCTCCTATTTATAAGTTAAGCCGATTTAAGGTTTGTTCAATGAATTTTTAATCTGTCTATAATAACAAAAAAATAATGCAAATTTTTAATCTTCCTTACAACTTAATTACATTAATTTAAAATGTACAAGTGTATTACGATTAGAAATCAAATGTGATATTTCCTTATTGTATAATCGCTACACATGAAATAAAGTTTTCAAATTAGCTATCACGCAAATGTATAAAGTACGTGATGTACTTACGTGCATTATTACTCGATTTTTATGTGTAATTATTAATTATGAACTATTTATTTTAAATTACAAATGCTCATTTTTAATCAAAGTATTAGAATTATGCAAATTATTATTTAATTATGCAAAGATCAATAACGATAGAAATTCAGCGAATAAATACTCCTATTAAAGTTTTTTGCGACGGGGTAATACATTTTTTTTCATTACTTCTTAGTAATGAATGCTTTTTGATGAGGTTTTTTTGTCATATATGTTTTTTATCAATTAGTTGACCATTGCGTCAAGCGTGGCGATATTGAATGCGGCAATAGCTTCTCGCCACGATAGTCGAAAATGGTCCAGACCTCTCATCGTAGCCGAAGAGGAACCCGAAGAACAACCAGAACCTGCAACTGAACTTCAAGCACCATCTAAAGACAGCATTGACTATTATTTGAGGCAGCCTGTACAAGAACCTTACATAATAACTATACCAGAAGCACCAGAAATTCATAAGAAACAACCAAAAGGACAAGATTCTTACTTACCTAGCCAAAATAGTGCTTCGAGTAGAGAGCAACCAGTCCAGTTTTCTCTGAGCACACGAATGAACTTTACAAACACCGATGAAGTACGCAAACCTCAAGTGTTCCCTCAATCGAGATATGGTAGCTTACCCAAGAAATTCTTAGGTTTCAAAAATAAACCACATTACTTAAAATTCTACGCTGATGACGCTTTGCCTAAAGTAGCACCAAAAGGGGCACAACAAAAATTCTTCGAAAGCTCATCACCACAATCTGAATACATCCAACATAGCCAACCAAAGGAGATAACCCAACGCCTATCAAAACACATTATCGAGAGCAAAACTGAAAAGAAAATTTTACCCAGACAACCACTGCCACCAATCTTTGATAGCGAAAGTGAAGCAGTTGTACCACGTTTGAGTTATATTAAACCTATTGCAGAGGCCAACAGTTCTGAGGAGGACGATGAGGAAGAATCAGAGAAGATTGTTGAAGTGGTCAAACCAACAAAGACGAAGAAGGCTAAATCTGTGAAACCAAAATTGGGTGCCTTGACCGATGGTAAACAGAGAGTGGAATTCCAAATGCACGGTCATGATGGTCCACAGAGCTACAAATTTGGATATGACACTGGCAAAGGGTATGTAGAGAAGAAATCATATAATTCTTAGGACATTTTTAAATTACAAATCTTACATAGTTTGTCAGTAAATTAAATTATAGAATAACTCTAGAAGTAACTTAAATAACTTTATTCTTCTGGGAGTGGCGCGCGCTACAAAACCCAGTGAACGTGATAAACATGCTGTCGTGATTAAGGATTCAAAGTAATTTCAAAAGTTATGATTACATCAGTTATTAATATCTGAGTTATTACAATCTATAGTTTTTACAACTTTACATTTACATTTGATAAGTTCATAGTGTCTTGTTTTTGCAAATTGCTTCTCAAATGCCAATTGGCGGATATTTAGTAAATTTTTATATTTTTTATTATTAGTAAAGTAATAATTTGGAAATAGATTCTTACGTTAATAGTAATAATTACGGTTCTTATGATAATAATAATAATTTCGAATCTTATGATAGTAAAATAATTAGCACTCTTATTATTAATATTATTTACTAGCCACTATTTATTCAATTTAAGGGGCACAACTAGTGTAACCGCCCTAAAAAAAAGGTGATTTCTCGTTAAACTAGATAATATTATCTGTAAAATGAACTACGATGAAGGAACAAAAATTGACAAAATATCGGCGTTTTTTTAAAAAAAAGTCGAATTTTACCCAAAATTTTGGTCGTTTTTGGACTGCCAAAATTCGATTTTTGATCCGATACGGGCAGCTATATATAGAACATGTAAAAAAAATTTGATAGTGATCGGATCATTTGTTTTTGAGTAATCGCTGCAGCAAATTCGGAAAATGCTGTTTCGAGAAAAACGCGTTTAAAGATTAAATGATCATTATATTATATACTATATATATACTCTTTAAATGGCTGTGACTCAAAAACTATTTAAAATATCGATTTAAAATTTTGGTATGTTATTTTTAAAGGTATAACCTATCGAAATATGGAAAAATTGAAAATTCGATTTTTTTTTTAAATTTCACACTAGTTGTGCCTCTTAAAACCGAACACTTGATACTTTCTAATAAAATATTGAATTGTATACTAAACCTATGGTTGCAATTACGTTTTATAATATCTGAACAATATCTATTTATTTTTCTATTTGCCTCAAATGTAATTCCTATAACATAATATGCGTAATATCATTACTTTTCATATAACGATCTAGTCTAGAATTAAGAGTTATTATTTGCGGTACTTTCTCCTTATTAAGCGCAAGTTACCATTATTCCTGATCGCGTTTGTCCAACACGAATGTATTATTCCAAAAATACTATAATGAAAGTTAATTCTATAGAAATTAGGTTTATAATTATTAATTTTGTAAATTAAATTCATAAATGAAAATAGAAACTTTGAGCAACTTTTTCATCCAGTTTAAAGCGTTAATTTAAACATACGATTGGTAATCATGTTTTTTTTCCTGAAAATAATTCTAATTCAATTGATTATTTTATTATTCAATTCAATATTTTAGAAGCAGTCGTCAATTTAGATTCGAAGAACGAGACAACGATGGATTAGTCAGGGGTCACTATGGATTCTTTGATGAAGATGGAAAAATGCATGTTATTAAATATAGAGCGTCAGCTGATGATGGTTTTAGAACCGATGAATAATTTATAAATTAATATTTTGATTTCATTATTTTTAAATCTTCCAAAAGCCTTTTTTTGACTTAGTGGAGAATGCATTTTTTTCAATTACGGACACAGAAAAATTGGATATTCAATAAAGAAGCAACAAAATATAATGTTAGCATATCAAAAGTCAATATATATATTTTTTCAATAATACAGAATTATTGAAAAATTATATTGCACTTTGATATCAGACCTAATTTTGAGTTTATAGTTGGATTTTTTTACTATAATTGCAATTTTCAATTTTCGAAAATTAAGACTGATATTATCCAATGAGTCCGAATTTACATGGCATAATGTCATGGATTTAATTAAATGATGTGTTAAAGTTTTTCATATAATTTTTACAAAATAATTAGTATTAAGTATACATTATAGTTCGTTATTCGGTTTTTAATTACAAACTAAACTTTTATACATAATTAGCAATATTATTGTTTTTATGTAGCTACTAGTACCATAAGATAATATTTGTATGTAATAAAATTGGAAAATTTTTATACTGGTATTTTATTTTGCAAACATTTTTATTGTTTTTGGATTATGAGAAATTTGTCTGGAAATTTTATAATTACTGTATATTATTAATATACTATATATTAATGGTTAACATTTTTATTGATGTGGGATTATGAGGATTTTATTAATTTGCTGCTCGAAAAACGATGCCAAAAGTGATGAAACTTATATAATCAAATAGAAAGCAATTAGAAATTTTGAAACACCTTTTTTGATATTGTTAAAATAATTTTTCTAATAATAATAAATTCTAAAAATTTTAGGTTCGAAATCTCAACTTGATAGTATTTTATCTTTGAGGTAAGGCGTTTCAAATTGTGTAAGGTTTCTTATCACAATGCTTTAATAAAAATGCGTAAAATATCTATTAAACATAATGATTAATCACCTTTATAATTAATTTACTTGCCGATATAAAACATATTTATATTCTATTTAACACAAATTATCGTTTTATTATCGCCACTAAATTATCGCCAGAATCTAAAGAAAGTTCTGAGCAAACAAATTTTCTGTTGAAATGAAATTGCGTATAATATAATTATAGAATAATGTTTTATATATTTTTTTATTGCTAATATTTAATTTTATTACTTTGTTGTTATCCTATAATTATTATTGCAACTAAGTATTTATAATTATGTGATTTATGGTATAAATAATTAAATTCAACGCATTTTTAACAAGCAATTAATGTTAATGAAACGTGCTTATAAGTGCAATGTTTATATTCATTTTTATTATCATAATGCATTTGAAATAACTATTTCAAATTAAAAAAATCACGTATAATTTTATATGTAAAATACACCCTTGTTCATAATTTTATATGTCATTGACTTTTCGTGAGTTCATTGTTATTAAATATCATGGAAACTTATTATTCCAGACAGTGACAATTTTCTACATACCTGTAAGACATACCTGTAAAAACCAATTAATTCATATTTTGAACACTTAAATGTTCTCTAGGACAACGTAGGTGTTTTCAATATGCATTAAATTCATGTAATACAAATTACTCGTATAAAGGACTCGTATATGATTTAGTATGGTATATGATTCAAGTTCTAATATTGGAATACTTGGATCTATTATTGATATTGCCATTTAAAATTATATCAACAGATCTCATATTGCAAATTGAGAAACAATTATATCATAAATAAGTTGATGATATCAATTAAATTCATTAATTATGTAATTTGTACTCATGTACCAAGAACGAGGTAAATTAACGACATTGCAGTTCAGAAAATTATTAGGAAATTACATTTAATTATTATAGAGAACATATAATTAAAAATAATAAGCAGAAAATTAAAGAAATATTTATATTGTAATTAAAATATTATATCGTAGTAAATTAAGTGCAGAAAATTAAAGAATGGTCAGTATTAAAGCTATAGCAAATATATAATTGATGAAATATAATTATTTTCAGTCTTCCAATTCTGATTTATAGAAAAATCAATAAATAATCGATAATAATTCACATGTTTGCTATATTTGAATAAATCAATATATTTACATAAATTGATACATAATAAATTATAAATGCATTAGATAGGTCTATCTGAATTTTTTTCATTGCTGTCCTGATCAGATTCTGAGAAATTGTCACTTGGTATTTCGAGCTCATCATATTCTGGAAATGGATTGAAATTATTATTATAAATATATTTTAATTCTGGAATCAATTAGGTTTATTATTATCAAATTTCTAGTAAAACTGTGATACATGAAGTAACGAATCAAAATATCAATTAATTTATTATCAAGTCAATAAAATTCTCTTGACGTAAAACCAATTGGCATTTATTCTGTATTAAGCATTCGTAATGTATTAATTATTGATGCTTTTAATTACGTATCTTTGTGTGATATCACTTCTGTTTGATGATAAATATATACTTAATAAATTAATAACGTTGAACGTTTACAACCATCGCGATTTCGATTTATAAACCCGAGGAATATAAATGTCGGCGCTTTGCAAATATTTGAAACGATTCGTAAAAGCAACCTATATTTCAAGAAAGCCTTATGCATGATTTATATATGTGATATATGAGCTAATTAAACAAAATATTCTAAATAATTAAAATGCAAGATAATAAAGGTACATCAGATAAACAAGTACTTAATTTTTATCTCTAAGAAGTTTGGCTTCAAAAATATTATATCATTAAAATTATCTATTTTCTTCTGTTAATTTAAAATTATACTAACGTCATCTAACCTTCCAAACTCCGTTTGAACTGATTTATATATTTTGGATCAGGCCAATAACCGGAAGACATAGCAGAGAGACGTTCTAGTCCTGCTGGATTCAAAGAACCTGCTCCAAAATAGATCATTTCTGGTGAAAATCGTGGAAATCCTTCGGAACGACCAACCCGGGGGAAGGGAATTAGTCCTGCACGTTTGTAGTCTGAGGAAAAAGAAAAATGGTTATTATTTAGATGGATATTATTTTAACTGCGCTGAGAAACCTGTTACTGCAGGATACAAAATTATATATAGTCAATAATAAATTTATTCTTCTATTTTCATATCTGAACAGCGATCATTAAAATTAAACCTTAGGTCCTATGAGATGTTGGGCTTAAACTTCTTTTTACTTCGTATTTTTAGATGGCAACCCAATGGTTAATCCATCCACATTTGATGATTTAATTATTAGAATTTATCTAATGGACTTAACGTTTTTATAGCAAAAAATTAACATTGCAGTGTATAAATGGATATCTTTCCTGCATTTCTCGCTTTTATTCATACGGTTCTGGTAGAGTATTTTCCGGCAAGCCAGGCGTTCAGTTCTTCTACTTTTTAAGTGAATCTTCTTTTTTAAGATCTTTGGTGTATTGAACTTAAAAATGCTTTGAACAAATACTCACTATACGTGAAATTAAACATTCTTTAAAATTTATAGTTGATAATACTTTTAGTTGTAAGTGTGTACGCTTGCTCCATAATTTTTAGTGAATGTTCATTTAATTTTGTATTTTAGAACATTTTTAATTTCAATATTTCAAAGTTACTGATGAGGAGGATTTTCAACATCTTCGAAATGTGTAAAAAAGAAATATTTGTTTTTGAGAAAAAAGGCTTGATTTCAGAAAAATTAACTGAGACCTCATATTACTATTTTATGAAAAATATTTTTAAAATTATTACCGGAAAATCGTAGATATTCCTGAGGACGTACTCCGCTTCGACCAGTCCTCGGAAAAGGATAGAGTCCTCTTGTGCCGCCCCGAGGGCTCTTGTATCCTATAGGGCCGCTAGATTCATCTGAATTACAAAATAAATTCATTATAAGCATTATACTAAAATGTTATTTAAAATAATTCGTAATGCAAATTTGAATCTAATAGTGAAAATAGAAAATTCATTCCAAATTCATTTCACTCAATTTTAAGTGCTAGGCATTAGGAGAAACTATTTATTTTATTAATAATTGGTTGTTCTTCAAAATTAGTGATTTGTCTAAAATAACTGAATAATTATTTTTTGCAAGAAAATAAAATAAGTTATTGGCTTTCTACTTCTACTCGATATAAATTTAATATATTCCAAATATGATAATTTATAATTAAGAAGTATATTGTTAAAATCTAAAAAATATTAAACCATTGAATTTCTGCATAAAATAAAATCTTAATTATGAAAAGTTAAAAAATATTATAATTAAACTTAATCAGTTTTAATTAATTTTTAGTTTTGGTTATTATTTTATTCATAGCTCAAAAATATCACACATTAAAAAAGCTTTTAAGTTAAAAATATTCGAAAATTATATTTAGTAAGAGTGAAAGTTGTGTCAAATGATTTATTTTCATCTTACAAACGGTTTGGTTAAAGTAAAATATGTGGTTTAGGAGTGACTATTCATGTTTCTGCATTTGAAATATTATTCTTCAGGATAATAGTACACAGTATATATTATAAATAAATATATTCAAATCGATATCACTTATATATAAATATATTCAAATCGGTATCGTTTTGTTTTTGTAAGATTTTTGTTATCTTAACCCCCACACATGAATACTTACGCTTTTAACTTATCTGAAAGATTTTTTTATTTCAAGGTGTTTGTAAAAAAAAAAATCTATTGTTGTGAACATATAAAATGCTTTTTATATTTTATATCTAAAATGATAATAAATATTGCAGAAATAAATAATTCATTTTATCTTAATGTATGAACAATTATTAAAATTTAATTAACACCAGTAAAATTAAAATAATGTTAGTATTTGCAATATCACAACAAAAAGTATTTATATTTGATAAACAACAAATAACTTCAAGAAATCTAGAATTTTTGCGTTTTCTGAGGTGTCAGCCTTGATAATTTAAATAATAATAAATTATTGATTGTATATTCCAAATACAAAAAGTATTTATTTTTGATAAATAACAAATAATTTCAAGAAATCTAGAATTTTTGCCTTTTCTGAGGTGTTAGCCCTAATAATTTAAATAATAATAAATTATTACTTCCATATTCCACCCTGGCGAATACAAAATTATTCTGATGTTTATAAAATAATAATTTAATGA